GGCGGCCGCGCGCGCGCCGTTCTATCCTCACTGGCCTCTCGAGATCAGAGCCGCGATCCCCTTTCTCGCGTCGATGGTCTTCATGCTCTGCGCTTTCCTGTGCGAGATGATCTCGGTTCGATTTGTTACTGCCGTTCTTGGCCTCGATTGGCACAGGTGAGGGATTTTGCAAGGAACCCCTCTTTTATTTTTGAAATTGCAACTATTTTTTTGTCCATCGATTCCTCCCATTTTGTTTGAATTTGTAAAGACTTGTTCAGATTAGTTACTTTTGCCATTTTGATTATGACTTGGCTATGGGAATTAGGATAGTTATCACACAGCGAGATGCATAGAAAAAAGATTGATTATTTTGATATTACGTGAGCTTCAATGAATCCATTTTCTGTGTTCAGCACTGCTGAGGACCATTTCATTAGCTGTACGGATCAGATTGGACATCTTTGGAACTAGAAATCAGTGCGAAGACGGAGATGGACAACAGATGGTAAGGGAGAAACATCAAGAATAGAGAGAAGAGAGGAAAACAAAATGTGAGTAATGAAGAAAAAAAGAGAGAGAAACACAGATTTGGGATGAAGTAGCAGCCGTAAACCTTTCCTGCTCCTTGACCCCGCTTGTAATTAGGTTACTAATTAGTCGGGGTTGGCAACCCCGACTAATTAGTACCGCAATTAACTCAAAGTGGGTCGATTTCTATAATTAAAAGTGAATGAGGTCTATTTCTTTTAAAAAAATTCTGTTGAGGCGATTTTGAAAATTTCTTCGAGTACAATAGGTATAGCTGAAGATTTGTAAAGCAGATGAAGGCACTGTTTGGCAACCAAAAAAAGTGTCTTATCTAAGAGCTTGTGTCTTATTGACTTGGTCAATAAGCCAGTAGAGCTGTTTGGTGACCAAAAATAGGAGGAGATTATTTTGGAGATTGTGTCTTTTGCAAGTAACTTTTGGAAAGCTATCTCAAGTAGCGTTTGTCTTTGGAAAGGAGCTGTCAATTTTTTTCTTTCGTTTTTGCCCCTAATAATTCTAATTTTATATCAATAATATTGCATGACCTTTTTAGTCATTTAACAAATTTAAGCTAGTTGTACAGCTTCTTTTGCCAAACAGCTCTAGTCAATTAGCTAGCTACACAGCTATCAGCTTTCAGCTACAATTTCACAGCTTTCAGCTAGCTTGACAGCTTTCAGCTATAATCTCCCAGCTTTCAACTAGTTTTGCCAAACAGAGCAGAAATTTTAGCGGTGTTACGTTTATTAGATGTTAAAGATAACGGTTTGTAAGCTGAGGGGCTTATTTGAACGACTAATGAGATTCGGGGTGACTTATTTATAATATGTGTGTTTTAGGGAACTTATTTTAAAGCGCTGTAGATTCGGGGAACCAAAATTAGCAAAATCGTTCATTGATTAAATTAGTGACCACCTTCTGTTGTTCAGCTTCAATCCGGGGTCATATTGGCCTATCCCTTCCCCTAGTTTTTTTATAACCCTATCGATCTTTGTAAATGTGCACCCATTATTCTCCATTACATAGCACATCTTGTCAAACGGATTTCTTTGATACTATTACCATGCACCTCTAATTTCCCATGAATCTCAACTACTTAAAAAAAGATGCAAATGGATGCAAATAGAGTACATCATTCTATTTGTTAATATGCAAATGATCTTCTGACCTTTTAGTTTACAATCCATGCAATCTGAAAATTTCAAAATTTTCATGAGATAGGATTTTGTTAGTGAGCGTTGAGTTTATATCCTGGGACTATTTTATATTGACAGATCTGCATCTCCTCTTCCTGATACTGGCCAGTGGCTCCTTTTAGCACTTAACGAGAAGCTTCCTCAGATGGTGGTTGACGTATTACGAGCACAAGTCGTTGAGCTTCATCATTATTTGATGATGTTTATGATGCTGGGTTTCTCTGTGCTTTTCAAGTCTGTTAAAGCTCCTGGCCTTGGTCTCGCAGCAAGGTATATGTTCACTATGGCTATAGGTCGTCTACTTCGGGTCCTAACATTTGTTTCTACGATCCTTCCATCACCCCGACCTTGGTGTTCTTATTCCCGATATCAAGTTCCTTCGCATCCTCACCCTTGGGCTCAAAAGTACTTCATGCCATATGCTTCTGATTCTTGGGCCATTCGCAAACTAATACAAAGTGATTTGCATTATGGTCAGTTATATTCACAATACACTAAAGAATATATGTTTCTAGCCAACTATACGTACTGATTTAGATATTTATGTCTTTGGTGGTTACTTAGCACCTGTAGAGGAATATCCTGATGAATTCCTGCCAGATTGGGGTAGAATGAGCTTCCTCATAGATATATTGAGGCCTGCTGTTTCTGATAGATCATCATGGTATCAATTGTTGAAGAGGGCCAGTGGCGGATGCAATGACCTCATGTACAGTGGCCACATGTTTGTTGCTGTACTGACTGCGATGGCATGGACAGTATGTATTCTAACCTAGTTAATTGGCATGTCACTTGAGGCTGATATATCCTGCATGATTTTTATCTAGATTTCTTTCTATTAAGGTTGAATTTTGGGTTAAGTTCAATCAACGAGTATCAGTTTGGTTATAGATTGATGCTGCTGAGTGCTGACACAATAGTATCTAAGAGCCTAAACTGTTGGCTGATGTGAATGTCAGCTAGCAGAGTGATAGGGGCTAATATTCGACATCTCCGGTTTCTCTTAATTTTCGAATAATTTGTCTAGGTTTTTACCCCTAGCTTATCTTATGGACCATCATGTACCAGCACTTTTCAGATTCAGATATTGAATCTTCTATAACTAAATGAAATGATATTACAATCTTGATTTTCGTAAATGCAGCACGGCCATCTGAAAGTAGGTGTTTTCCCCATCTCTCTTGAAGCTATAGCCTTAGGAGTAATTCAGAACAATCTTCTTATAAAAATATGCATCCCATGTATGCATCCTTTCATGGAATTTTATTCCGTGAAAGCAACTTATTTCCTTTTTTCTAGGTTTCAGAATGCTAGTTGAAGACTGCATTTGGTAGGTTAAAATGCTATTGCTGGACCAGTTCTTTTTCCACTGGATAATCTGTAAAATTTTCAATTTTTTCCTCATTAATTTGTAGAATACTGGACAGTCATTAATGGGCGTGTGCACTCGTTTCGAAGGGAAGTGTTTCATGTCATAATCTCCTATGTCTTTTATTATTATTGTCTCCTTTTCATGCTCTTACGTGGAAATTTCTATTTGTTTTAAGCATCAATAAAGGATACAGAGGTAAGGGAATGTTTATTTCCCTTCAACGATCCTAGACAGTTAATCAGATAAATCATACGGAGGATGGATAAAGAATATTGAAGGTGAAAGCTGGGTCAGAAATATGCAATTTGCCCATTTCCTTATGGCCAATCTAACCCCAGCAAGCAAACACGTACAAATATAAAAGGGGAAAAAACCTCACCACCACAAGAAAGAGGAAGGAGTAAACTCTTTGAATCCACATGGTAGGGAGTAAAGAAAAAGAAATACTATATTGATTAAATGGATGATTAATGCTCTGTTGGCCTTAACTGTATCGTACGGATAGAAATATCATTCAGAAATTCCCCTCTAAGATATAGCAAAACGTGGTAATAGTGATGACATATGACTTGTCATAATTTCACCACCCGTGATATTGTCCTAATATCCGGTGAAATCTAGTTTCAATATAAGCATTACCATAGTCATGACTGACTGAATTAACATTCATCTGAGCC